CCTCAGAAGTTCAAATTCTCCAAACTACCAAGCAGCCCTTCTACATTGCAGTTGAATACACTTTGGCAGATTCTACTCCTACTTGGGGAATATTTGTCTACTTGAGCACCTGCCTCCTTACTAGGCAATCCCAATGGTCAGAGTTGCTTTCAACCAAATCCTCTTGGGGTAACCACTGGCACATCCTAGGAGATTGGAATGACATCTGCCACAGTGTAGAAAAAAAGGGAGGCATTCCAAGAACAGTGGCAAGTATGGAAGGCTTTAACTCCTTCATTGATGGCATGGAAATGGAAGAAATAAAAATGGTTGGCTACAATTTTACCTGGTGTAACAACAGATTTTTAGAAGGGCTAGTGGAAGTAAAACTTGACAGAGGGTTTGCCTCAGCTGAGTGGCTTGACCTACATCCTCAAGCAACCAATTTCAATGAAGCCAAGACTGCCTTGGATCACTCTATGTTAATCTTACAGTCTGGTGACAGAAAGGAGAGGAGGAAAAGCAGGTTCCACTTTGACAAACGATGGCTCACAAGAGAAGGAATAAAAGATGTTATTCAAAAGGCTTGGAGCATTCCCCACTCTGGTACTCATTTTTTCATCCTAAAGGAAAAAATCAAGACAACTAGGAAGGCCCTTCTGCTATGGAGTGCTACCTTTAAAACTCAAAAACAGTCCACCATTGATAATCTCTCCAAAAAACTCACCACATTACAACAGAATGGAAGCATAGCAAATTGGGAAGAATGGATTGAAACCAAAAAGGAACTAGCCTCAGCCCACAAAATTGAAGAACTCTTCTGGCAACAAAAGGCACGGATTCAGTGGTTAAAAGAAGGAGACAACAATTCTAAATTCTTTCATGCTTACACCATGGTTAGGAGGAGGCAGAATGCCATTTTCAGGCTTCTTACACCACAAAATCACACCTGTGACACCCAGCAGGCAATTCAACAGCACATTGCTCAATTTTATGAAGAACTCTTTTCATCTGAAGGATCATGGGGTGGTGACTCAATTCTCCCTCTCATCAATCCTTCCATCATTGAAGACATGAACCACCTGCTTCTACAAAAAGTAACTGAAGAAGATATCAAAGTTGCACTTTTCAGCCTGCAAGCAGATAAAGCCCCAGGAGAAGATGGTATGACAGCACTTTTTTATCAATCCTTTTGGGAGATCATCAAATCTGACTTAGTATCTGCTACTTTAAGTTTTTTTAATGACAAAGGCTTGCTTCTCAAATACTGGAATCACACTATTGTTCCTCTCATTCCTAAATTTCACAACCCAGAATATGTTGCTCAATTCAGACCTATTAGCCTCTGCACTGTAGTGTATAAGATTCTGTCAAAAATCATGGCTCAAAGGCTTCAGAAATGCTTAGAGGTGTGCATTAGTGATTCTCAGTCTGCATTTATCAAAGGTAGACAGCTCATGGATAACGTCATCATTGGTCAGGAAGTTTTTCACTATCTTCACAGGCACAACTCTAACAGACACTGCTTTTTGGCTCTTAAACTTGACTTAATGAAGGCATTTGACAGAGTTGAGTGGATTTGTGTCAAAAAAATTATGTTGAGAATGGGCTTTCATCCAGACTTTGTGCATTTTATTATGATGTGCATCACCTCTTCATCCTTTTTATTCAAAGTCAATGGAGTTGTATCTGTATCTGGTTTTGTAGTGCCTTCCAGAGGGATTAGACAAGGGGATCCCCTATCCCCTTATATTTTCATCATTGTGGTTGAGGTGTTATCTGCCCTGGTTGCTCAAGCTGTTAATTCAGGTCATCTCACTGGACTGAAAATCTCCAAAAATGGTCCAGCTGTATCTCATTTGCTCTTTGCTGATGACTCCTTACTTTTCTGTAAGGAAAATGTAGACCAAGCTCATACCATTCTTACCATCCTTGAGAGATACAGATTATTCACAAGGCAATCAGTCAACTTGAACAAATCCTCTGTGTTCTTTAGCAGGAAAACTCCTTCTCCTCTTCAGAACAGCATTTGTGCAGCTCTATCAGGGATTACCAGTCACAGATCAACAAGATATTTGGGTCTCCCCTTAGGCATTGGCAAGTCTAAAATTGAGACCTTTCAGTACATTCAAGATTCTGTCCAACAAAGAATTCAAGGCTGGAAATCTAAGTTACTCAGTCAAGCTGGTAAAGCTATCCTCATCAAAGCTGTCTTGCAGGCCCTTCCAATGTTTTCTATGTCTTGTTTCATGCTTCCAAAAACCCTTTGTGCAAACATTAACAAAATATGTTCTCAGTTTTGGTGGAGCACTGGGGAGGATCTTTCTCATGGCATTCATTGGAAAGCATGGAACTTTCTATCCCTTCCAAAAGCTGATGGAGGACTTGGCTTCATGGAATTTCAACTCTTCAATATAGCCCTCATTTGCAAGCAGCTGTGGAGAATAATAACTCAGCCTGATCTTCTTGTCAGTAGGATTTCGAAAGACAGATATTACCCCAACTGCTCTATCTTTGAGGCTATCAACACACCAAACTGCTCCTGGATTTGGGCCAACTGGCTGAAAGTTCTTCCTACATTTGCCAAAGGCTATGCAGTGGAAATTAGAAATGGTGCTGCCACCAGATTGGAGGATGTCAACTGGGTTCCCAACATTTTGACTCGTAAACCCACTCTCATAGAACTGGCTAGAGGGCACTTGATTTGGGTGAGGGAGTTAATGAATGAGTCATGGACTAGCTGGAACTCATGGCTGATTAATCAAGTGTTTAACAACCAAGACAGTAGAGCAATCCTAGCAATCAACACCCTCAATCCAAGCAAGCAGGACAGACAATACTGGAAGTTCAACAAGAAGGGGGTATTCTCAGTCTCTAGTACTTACTCATTCCTCTCTCAACAAAAACTGCTATCCCTTGGCATTCCTTCTAGCAGTTCTATGATTGGTCCAACTTTCACAAAGCTTAAACAGAGGCTCTGGAAACTGAAGGTGGTATCTAAGGTGAAGCTCTTCATTTGGAAATGTATCACTGGTGCTCTTTCTGCCAAAACTAACCTTCAGAGGAGAGGTATGAGCTTAGATGTTTTATGCAGTATTTGTGGAGAACAACCTGAAACAATGAACCACATCCTCTTCACTTGCTCCAGAGCTGCTGAACTGTGGAATCTTTCCCCTGTAACCTGGAGTTATCTTCCTGCTATTGGAGATTCTTTCAGCTGCTGGTGGTACCACATTTGCTCCCTTGGTGAGTCAAACATATCAGAGGCAAGAATTCAACTCACGACGTACATTCTCTGGTGGCTCTGGAAATCACGCAACATTAGCATATTTGAAAACAACCTGCTCTCCATTCATGTCACTCTTAAAGCTGCTCATAATGACTAGATGGAATTCTCTCAACTGGTTTCCTAGTTTTACTATGTTTAGGCTTTTGATTTGGTTGCTTTCCTTCCTTTTGTCTTTCATTTTCTTTTCCACCTCTAGGCCTCTGGGCAGTGGAGTGTGTGTTAGTTGGTTGTAGTGTTTGGCTAGTTGTTGCTTGAGGCTCTAGGCCGCTTCGTGCGTGTCCTCTCAATTTTTTTTTCCTTTTCGGGCTTGGTCTGTACTATTCGAACTTGGTTCGCNAAAAAAAACCATTGAACCAGTAGCTTGACCGGTTCGATGACCGGTCCGGTTTTGTCAACATTGCTTAATTGTTATTAGTATATTTTATTTGCATTTTAAAAATTCTCAAATTAGATAGGATCAAAGTTGATATAAAATATATTAATAACACACATCTATTTTTATGACTCGGTTTTTCGGTTCGGTTCTCGATACGGATATTTACGTAATCTCTAGAATTGTACCAATTATTTTTTCGGTTCGGTTCGGTTCGGTTCGGAGAAAGTCAAACGGTCAACGGTTATTTTTTGATTCGGAATGATTTCGCTTCGGTTTTCGGAACCATTCGGAATTCTTTAAGTCCCTTGCCCAACCCTAACTGCTTAATGGTAATTTTACTTTTCTACTTAAGAATTTTCGAGCCGAGTTCGAGCATTTTGATTTCGAGTCGAGTTCAAGCTGAGTTCAAGCTATTTTACTTTTTTATCGAGCTCAAGCTCAAGCCTCATATATCGAGCTTGAGCTCGAGCTCCAACTTGAGCAACTTAAAAAAATAATGAATTCTGCTCGATAATATCAATGTTCGACTCGACTTGACTCCTTTGCAGTCTACGGACGATGGTGAGTGCCTTCATTTATTCATGGTTCTGACGCAGGTCATGTGGGTGGGGTTTTGGGGGTCATAAAAGTAAGTAAATTTTTTCAAGGCAAAGTTAGACTGATCATCAAAGTTTTCCACTCAAAACAAAATAATATTGCACAAATATTCATACCAGGATAGAATAAAATAATATTACTTGTGCACCACCAAAAGCACTTATGGCAACCCTGGAACAGTTGGTAGATTAGATTTAGATCTCTGCCATTTCACAGTGGGCCAAATTTCTACTGATAATTCAATCTTTACCCTCGCTTTCAAATTATGAACACATATTTACATACATGCATTGCATATGGATATCTATATGTGATAAATAAATGCTGAGGACTTAGATTCTTATTTGGACAATAAATTTTCACTATGTAGCAATATTGATTCCATATTATCTTATTAATCTTGTGAAATTATTATGATTCCATAAATTCTAAATTGCTGGAGTAAGCCTAAGCGTCTAAATTCGATGTGCCATACCTTTTTAACAAAAATTAAAAATACTTACACTGTTTCATAACATCCTTTTGTTTGTATTATTTTTAAATTATGATATTTTCATAAATATATACCTATTGTAAGTTATGTCGGACTAATAGATGACTTATTGATAAATGATAACTTAGCAATTTGTTTATTAAATCACCCTGAATTAGTGAAAAATGAACGTATAGATGGAGACTATTCTAGGTATTTAATTGAGCATGTGTTTAAATTAATTTAATGAAGTCTTAATTAATGACCATGATGCAGACAGTTTAGTTTCACGTCACTTCATACGCATCCGGATCTTTCCTAAAATGGATATTAATTAAAGAAACTCATGATTATGCTCGTATTTTGACTTAGTTAAATAACTAAACAAAGAAGGTTGCTTAATATAATCCTTTCCTTAATTAGTAACCCCAAATGGAGACAGTTTAATTTCGTGCTACTAAGCAATAGTATGTGCATAAATGATTACTATATGTTGTGGGATCTTTTTCCTATGATGGCCCATATGACTAATTTGTTTTTAATCAATTTGCTTGGTGATGCTTTTCTATGCATAATAAAACAATTATCATCATGCACTAGAATATATAAATATCTGACATTTCCCACATATAAAGATTGCTCCATCAAAATAAAATAAAAGAAAAAATTACAACTTGATTTTTTCGTTTTCAACGAAAGAAAAAGAAAAAGTTCACCAACTTTATAATAATTTGACATTATTATATTATACAATAGAAAAGACAGATAGCATGATGTATAACGATACATACACATATCAATAATATATATTTGTACAATAATCTTATCAAAGTAATCTTATCAAGTACATATGAATACAAAAACATTTAATGTAAATAAATAAATATATTAATTGAACCACTTGTAGTGTATATATATACCTTTCCCATTTGCCCGATTAGCCCCGTTGCAAATCACAAATTTAATTCCTCCATTTTCTTCTCCCACGCCCATTACTATAAGAGTATAAGTGCATTTTTTATTTTTTTTTATAAAACTTCTAATTCACCTTACCCATTCCTCTGTTCCCAAGTTTAGTTTTCTCAGGCTTTTTCCCAAAACAGAAAGTAGTTTCTATTTTTATTTTTATATTTTCCCAATTCTGATAAGCAACTTAATTATCATAATATTATCATATAAACAAAAAAAATTAAAGAGAGAAAGATAAAGGCATTCATGGACATGGATTTGATGAAATCGGTGAACGAGGAGCAGATGGAAATGATGCTGATGCAGATGGAGAAGCTGCCGGAGTTCGACGAAACTCCGATCATGGAATTCGGGAACAATATTCCGACCACCAACAACAACAACATAGCCATGGAGAATCTCCAGATCTCGTCTCCTTCTCTGTACTCGTTCTCCGGCGAGGCAGGGGATCGCCGGAGCTCTATGGCGGCGATGCGTGAGATGATATTCCGTATAGCCGCGATGCAGCCGATCCACATAGACCCTGAGGCGGTGAAGCCCCCTAAAAGAAGGAACGTTAGGATCTCCACCGACCCACAGAGCGTGGCCGCCCGCCACCGCCGGGAGAGAATCAGCGAGCGAATTCGGATCCTCCAGAGGCTCGTTCCCGGCGGCACCAAAATGGACACGGCCTCCATGCTCGACGAGGCCATTCACTATGTCAAGTTTCTTAAGAATCAGGTGCAGTCACTCGAGAGGGTCGCCGCCGCCAGGCCGCCGCCGCCGGGGGTGGGCTTCCCCGTGCCGATGTCGAGCGGAAGCTACTTTCCGGCGGGTGGGAGGACGGGCTTCCATCATCATCATCATCAACAACATCAACACCACAGTCAGGCGGCGGCGCCGTACCAGGATGCGCACCAGATGCTTGATTAAATGTCTGAAAGAGATAGATTTGAAATTTAAGGCCAATTGATTGGGGAGTAGTTTGTTCAAATGTTTAGTGGTCTTTTTTAATTTTTTTTTTTAATGATTAAAAGAAAGAAATTACCGTTTGTGAAAACGAGAGACAGGGTTAAGATTTGTGCGGGTTTGGGTATTGGTTGTGTAAAGAAAACACAGGTGTCTCTCGTTATCATTGCCAAATTATGAGGCTGCATGTGTAATTTCTCTTGTGATTGATGATGATAATAAAATCTTTGGCATGTACAACTCGTATGCTTTAATATTATAAGCTCTCTTCTATTCCACACACACTCATCACACAATTTTAAGAACAGATTCCCTAACACAATTAATTCAATAATTAATAAACCGTTATAGCAAATACCATTGCAAAGATGACATATACCCATTATTATGAAAGTATGAAATGCAAAGATGAAATATACTAATTTGTATGATTAAATATAAGGATTTTAAAAATCATTGTACTCTTATTATATTAATTTTCATTATGATTATTATTTTCTATTTATGCTTATTGTACATTTCATGTATAAAAAATATATACATTTTATTATACATTAAGAAAATATAAAAGAATTTATACGGGCGTCTGGATTAGGGCTGCAAACGAGTCGAGCGGCTCGTACGCTCGAATTTGACCAAATTTCAGTCGAGCTCGAGAGGCTCGAGTATGTTACCGAGACAATTTCGAGCCCAAATTTTCAAAGGTCAAGCCGCTCGACATATGCGGTGAAATACTTAAATACCCTTTATATATATGTAATTCACAAATTGTCATAAGTGCATAATTTATAGTTGTTAAAATTCGAGCCAAACTCGAGTCATCTCAATTGCATCGAACCAATCTCGAGCATTTCCATTTTTTTCACGCGCCGAGCTCGAGCAATGAAAAAAAAATCGATCTACGCTCGACTCGTTTGCAGCCCTAGTCTGGATCGCCTAGGTCACCTAATCAATCTAGGGATGTCTAACTTCACAACCGCCGGACTGCCGAAGCAGCAACTTATTGCTCGAGCGCCTAGAAGGTCCGCCTAGCCGAAAATAAGGGCGCCCAAGTGTCGTCTAGCGTCTAAGCGCAAGACGACTTTTAGTACAATGATAATTATGGATGGCAACACAAAAGTAAGTAAATCTGTGGTTTGTGATAAAATGGTTGTTTGGAGTGCTAAGAGCATCTACAATGTTTTGGGTCTAATTGTACTTACTTGGCATGTAAATAGACCTGGGTCTAGGATGATATGGACAAAAATATATAAAAGTATCAAATTTAACTCCAATACAAAGAGACTAGGTCTCTACTTGTGGCTAAAATAGACTTAAGGCTAGACAGGGTCTATTTTTCTTGCTGCCTCATAAGCAGGACCCGGTCCACTTACACTTGCATTGGAGTACTTATTTTTCTTGATTGGGTTCATTTCTTATGTGGCATATATATTTTTGTAAGTGAACTCAAAAACATTGTGGGTGTTCCAATCATCGATGTCAAACTATAAAGACACTAAACATGCTATTATTTCTATAGTCGGAAGGCCAAATCTTGCTAGTTCTTTATTAATGGCTAAAAACAAGTTGAATTTCGTAAGGCACGGCAGTTAAAAACCCCGTGGGGGTTTCGCTGTAGGATTGATCCTTCCTAAGAAAAAAAAAAAAGTGGATTGTTTAATTAAACGAAGAATCCTAATTTTCCGTGCTTGCAATCTTTAAGTAGAAAGGAATCAACACTGAAAATGATGCCGGGTTATTAGCAACCCCATGCCCATGTGCTTAACTATCTCTACAGCAACTTTTGTCTTGTAAGAAAAATATCGTGTTTGTGTGTGAAAGTGCAATAAAGAGATTAGAATTGGGACCAGTGTAAAAAACTTGGTTAGGGGGAATTCCCCAATTGCACCACAGCCAAAGGTCAACTAGCAATAACACATGCTCCTTAAACTGTTAACTTGTAGGTCCAGATAAAATTTTGCACTTGTACTTGCTCATTGGAGCAAATGGCTCTTCTTCTTGGGCCAACAAAAACATCACACAACTAGGAATCCTTTTTCTGGATTTTGATAGTTCCGACGATTAGGAATTTTAGGAGCCTCAATTATACCACACCCACTGGCTATTCTTTGTATGGATTGTTAAATTTTGATTAATGTTTATGATGTATATCAAATATGCGTAAGATCTTTTCAACATACATAAGTCTCTTGTCATTGAGTTACGATTGTATCTTATTCTCTTCTCTCATCTATATCTATATATATTGAAAGGGATTGTTGAAATAATCTAAAATAGTAACTTTGACTTTGTAATTAAATTGGTTGACTTATTGTTAAACAAAATATCATAAAAATACTCTAATATATTTGAAGAATAAATATCAAATTATACTTACCGATTTTAAATCGTGAAATTTGGTTAATTAATAGCATGACTTTCAATATGAATAAAGTAGTGTCGAATTTGAACATTATTTTGTGATAATTATCACAATAAAATTTGATTCTTTATATTAATTACGAATAATAACTACAATGTATGTCTTATTCTTTTGGTAACCAACCATATACCATCATTTTCTGCAATATGTCTTTTACAAAAGCGACTATTGAAAAAAAATTATTTGAATATGCATGATAAAATCGCAAATATAATTACAAAATAAAAATTGAAACCAATTATGTGGCTTGACATGAAAATTATTAGTTTAGTAGGAAAAATATAAATATTTATAATATATATTGTTCCAAATTATGATGACAAACGGGTCATCGAGCTATCCACGTAAATTATTAACTTAAAAAAATTATAACGTATATTGTTAAAAATTATAATAATAAATTAGCACGTGATCTATAGAACAATGACGTAAACTGTTAGCTTAGAAAAATAAAGAAAATATTTCTTATATATTGTTATTAAAATACTTATAATATACATCATTATAAATTATACATATAAAAAATAAAATAATATTGATGTAATTAAAAATTATTAAATATTTTAACTTCAAAATAATATATATAACAATCTTTTTCTTAATTATTGGTTATAATATTTTGCACAATTATTTAATTTTAGCATAATTTATTTTGAAATTTAAATATTGTAATAACATATGGGTAAGGAAATATAGAGAGGGACGTATTATGTGTGTATTATCTATTGGTAATATTTGAATATGTTATAGTTAATATTTGAATATGCTAAATTGTCATTATTTTCCAAAATAAAATTTTACAGAACAAAACCCATTGAATTGTATTTTCCTATCATCAGAGAAAAAATAGCACAAGACATTATCCCAATCATTTGTATCTCATCCAAAGACCAGATTGCAAGCATTTTCGCCAAATCATTTGGCAATCCTTAATTTTCAATCCTTTCTTTTATGGTGAACTTGAAAAGCATTCATATCCATCTTGACGGATAATAGAATATACTCCCTCCTATCTTTTTTATTTGTCATTCTAAGTTAATAGGTTATTCACTAAATAAATGTCGTCCTACCAATTTTGTTCATACTTTTCCAATTTTAGCCCTTCCATTTATTACAGAGCGGCTCTTCATTTCCAATTTCCATCATTCCCAGAACATCCATCACGATCCCCATGAATATCTATATGTTTCATCTCACTTTATTTCTCTATATCCATCTTCCACAAATTATTCATATCCATATTTATAGATCTTTTTAGATGTTTCACAAAATTTGAAATGTTGAGTGGGAATTTTGATTTTACCTCCTGTCAAAATTTTGGCTCCAAAAAATGAAAGCTTAAGAAATGAATTTCTACACAATTTGAAGAAAGACGTGGAACGATGGAAGCTGATGGGTTTTCATCTTAAAAGTTTTTTTTTTTTTTATTTTTCATCTTAAAAGCTTTTTTTTTCTCTTTTATTTTTGTTACTTTTTTCTTTGTGTTTGATCCACGCATTCCAAGCATTTTTCTGTTTGTCTTACTTTTTTTCTTTTTCTTCCACAGAATTTTCATTTACTTTTTACTAATCATCATTAATTGTGTTACTTAATAGAGTTATAGACAGATTTATAATTTTCATTCAATAGGGTTAATATTGGTAAAAAAAAAGTTCTTAATTAAAGTGCTAGTTCTCAAAACGACAAATAAAAAAAATAGGAGGGAGTATAAAAATGTATTTATGTATGTAACAACTTTATAATTAGATTAGCACTTTTACTTGTAGATCTTGTATATTACATTATTGACCCAATATAAAATGTTCTTCCATGTACAATATTTTTACTTTTCATATTATTCAATAATACAGAAAATCCCGATGCTTTCTCTATTTCTTGTGTTCTTCGATTTTGAACTTGACAATTAATAATTATTGAGAATTTTGAAAATAAAGCAAGTTGAAGTGGTACACAAAATGGAATAAGACGTGTCATGACAATGTATGACGCTTGCCAACGCAAAAGGTACCGTCCAACATTGATTGACATTCCAGAAATAGCATGTGAACTAGGTTTTCATATTTAAGGAAAAAGGAAAAAAATCATTTCAACTAAATCGAAATTTAAGTATGCAACCAACCGAGCACAAAAGGACAAATAACCAAGTATTTATGATTTAGGAGAGCTCATATTTTTTCCTCTCGGTTCAAAGGGCCCCATAAAATTGAAATCATATCTAACCAACCATAAATTGTAAATATTATTACAACTACACGTACTACACAATATATGTGTAGTATCGAATTTTATTCAAGGCGAGCTTCTCCTATTAATATATTTTTTTTGGGTTTTTCTCTAATAAAAGAATTAATTCGGTAATAGCTATACATGGACTTTTTTGTTTGAATCTTTCTCTATCAGAAATTCGAGAAATATAATTATTGATGATGTATGAAAAGCTTGGATGCAAGCACGAATATATTTTGGAGCCTTATCTTCTAAAACTGTATCTTGTTTGTTTTTGACTTTTATCATGTGAAAAAAAAAATACGAATTCATAAAACAACCGGCCAATATCTATATGAATAAAATAATTAATGATATTGTATTGGTCAAGTTGGTCGAAGGAGTCAATAAGATAATTGTTAGAATATCACTTGTTAGTTGTCCACGTCATTTATACATAGAAGATATACCCAAATTATAAGTCTAGTGGGTTATTCCTCCCTTTACAATTGAATTTGAGATGAAACCTCACTTGGGCTTCACTTCACCCGTCACCCAGCGCAGTTAGGCTTGGCTCTCGGCTCCGTATATGGGCTTGGGCTTTCGATTGAAGGATTCAAAAGTGAGGGGCGTGTTAGAATATCACTTGTGAAGGCTTCATATGGGCTTTCCCTGCTATGGTGCGCTTCACCCGTCACCCAGCCCAGTTGGGCTTGGGCTCCCGGTTCCGTATATGGGCTTGGGCTTTCGTATGAAGGACTCAAAAGTAAGGAGACGTGTTAGAATATTACTTGTGAAGGCTTCATCTGAGCTATTTGTGCTATGGTGCGCTTCATCTGTGGGACTGCACCCGTTACCCCGTGTTTCTTACAATACAATAATATTGAATGATTCCCGATACAATTTCGAGGAGAAAGATGATAGATAGAGCTTCAAATCATTTAGACCGTGTTTCTAAACCAATAAATTTATTCAAAGTGATTTATTCTAATTAAATAAGATTAACTTAGAAAAAGTAGCATAGTTAGTTGTTAATGAGATAATGAATTTTTAAAATAATATTTAAAATAAAATAATTAAAGTTGATTTGATGTAAAAGTATGAGAAAAATAATACGAAGTGATGATTAGTTCAAATTATGTGAAGTTGATTAATAGTGAATTAAAGTTGATATGATGTGTAAAAATGATTGGTTGTTATTATTTAATTATATTATTAATATTGAGGACATCGATGTTGAGTTAAAGTTGAGTTAGATTTTACGTATGAATTAATTTGAATTGAGTAATTTGGTTTACAAACACACCCTTAACTTTTCCACTGTTTTTTCGAATCAGTTTCTACAATTCTTATTTTATATTTCCGCTTACAAAATGGTATATATTGCTAAATTACTCATTGATATAAATTGCTGAAACTATAAGATATTACTATCATGATGAAATAAGATTGGTTTTGGTTAAACGTTAGGCCTATCTATTTAATGAATTTGAGTAATTTTCAACAAGGCATAATTATATGTGTACATATGTATTGTAACAAATAACTCAAACTGACCTAGAAGAATGATGAGGACGAGCCCCTAAAGTGATAATTGAAATTAGGACAGTGTGAAAAAAAAAATTGAAATAGAATATATGACTCATTGAAGCTTAATTATGCATTACCCCCTAAAAAGGAATTAATATTTACAAAGGTCATTCAGTAAAAAAAAACAAAAACAAAAAACAAAAAACTTTTTTCAGAGTATAGTGGACATTACTATACTGCCACCTATTTCCTAAAATTTGGCTGCAAGTTCAGTGGCATCACTCTCACCAGAAACCACATGCATTTATTTATGACATATGAATTAAGTAGTTCTTACTAATGCTATGATACTATTTGTAGAGATGATGTTTTTGGAGTATCTTTAATTCCCAAGCTTAATTTTATTCTGAGTCTTAGATGTGCATTTTTTGTTTTCTATTTTTTTTTTCAATTTAATTGCAAAATATTATAGCCAGTATCTATGTGGTGTCAATAACGACACAATCTTTACAAATTGACAATAATAACCAAGTTTTAAAATTTCGGGGTTATTATCCAAGTCAGGCCAAATTTAACGGCTATTATTGCCACCGCGTAAAAGATATTGACTATATTTTACAATTTAGCCGTCAAATTTCGCTGAATTTGGGTAATAACCTCGAATTTTAAAGAATGTTGGCTACTATTACTGATAACATAAACATGGTGGCTATTACTGACTATATTTTGTGTTGTGTCCCTAAAATTCCGATCACATGGATGACGTGGCCCAGATATTAAGCTCGGCCCAAGTTCGCAGACCAAGCCCAAGATCACAGAAGGTTGCTCTATAGATGTCCCATCTGCGTACCGCTAGGAT